CACCAGATTTCGCGATCTCTGTGTAGGCTTTCTTTGGGGTTACGACTCGTTGCGTGTCGTATTTCGTAATGCTCGCTGCCGGTCGGGATTGATCGGCATGCGTCGAGAAGGCGCAGAGACTGCGCAGAAATCCAGGGTGCCGGAACGACGTGTCAGACCAAAACTAACTAAACCAGTAGAACTAAGAACACTCCTGATAAGCGACCAGTGGTTAATGTTATCGGGTGAGGTTGGTTCTAGCTTTTCAGCTAGCGAGTTCTAAAAGACAGTCAGACGTGTTGATCCAGATAAATTATTACAGTGTCGTGCTTTGAGAACGCCCACTGAAGCAAATGGACAGTTTGGTGCAAACTATCGCGTGGTTGGATTCGAGGGGAAAGCTTTAGTACGATCGGCAGTTTTGTATAGAGTTCCGCCATTTGTGGCTTATAGTGATGTGGTTAATCTGCGTCCGTCGCTGACTCGAGGAGGGCGGACGCCCAGTAGCGTACCGGCAGTTGGAGCGTCTGAAGTTCGTACTGGCGAGGGATAGGCGGTGGTCCCAACGTAGTGTCAACAGGCGTTCCCCGTTTTCCGAGCGCTAGTCCTTTCGGACTAGATTCCTGATGCGCTTCACTCGAAGCCATCCAATCTACTCTAGCATTCAGATATCCTGCTAATCACAATATCAGCCCGGCTCGCTTTACGCAAGAGGTCGTGTAGATTCTGGTAAAATTCATCTTTGACTTCATCTGGGCTGCAGTCCGTTGAGTACGCCGATACGACAAACAAGTTTCGTTTATTGGGGCGACGGCTGCTAACTTTGCACGAACCCGAGTTTCACTAAGAGCAGCCTACGGTCGACTGGGATCCAATCCAGGAGCGAAGCTTCAGATCTCAAACTGAGAGCCACACCAACGCCAGCAAGACCGGAAGCTGCAGCCTCATGGTCCCCAGACAGACGTAAGCGAAACTTCACAGATGGGTTTGATGGGGACGTCAATCGGATAATAGAACTGGAGTCTTGAATGAGAGTCTCTTGGATACAACACATATCGACGGCTAGGCACACGAGCGAACCCATAAGGGATTCGTGGACAACTAAGTGGAAGGCTCCTTTTAGGTCAAGGAACAACCATTGGTCGACGGTATGTATGGTGTAGTTCGAAAACTTGACGTAGGGCGAAGATCTGGTTGATGCCACAGCGATCTGGCTGAAATCCTGCTCGTTGTTCGAGGATATTCATCTCCCCAGATGATGTTAGACGTCGGAGTATGGCGTAGGCTAACTTTTTAGTGACGATTGGGATCAAACTTATTTCATGGTGGTTTGTAACGTCGTTGCGAAATCCTTTCTAAAAACTGCAACGATCAGTGATTAGCTCCAGGATGATGAAACACGCTTATGTGACTACATAGTATGCATGGAATCAGTAATGGAAACTACGAGGTCGTCGCTCGCCATCTTGAAGTGTGGTGGGATGCTCGTCAGCGCATGCTGCTTTCCCTTTCTTCATGGCTTGGATACAACATCGTACTTCTGCTTCAGTAGAAGATTCACATGACACTGTCTGAACTACAACAGACGAGATAGTCTGAACCGTTCGTTGAAGTACTCCGCCCACCGGTCAAACCGTTGCTCACAATTGTGAATAGCTTGCCCACATTTGTAGCAGACTGTTTCACTAGCTATGGTTTGTCAACCTTCTGTGTTGCGTGTTCCTTGATGCACCAGCTACTTCCATTTCACCAGCTATTGTTGCGCACCATTCCTCGCGG